TAACGTCTTTTTAAATATCCGAGTTTTTAATATCTGAACAAATTGTATCTTAAAACTTCAAAACGTTCTACGAATCGCAGTTTGTATATTGATCAGTATTTTTACATGTCATCTACATTGCACAATTATTTTACATGTTTTTTACGGGTATTATCATGATCTGTAGATAACAGCTGTAAAATGTGAGAGTAAAAAGTATTGTCAAAATTAACATCTAAATTAAGTTAAGTTAGTTTCCTAGTAGGTTCTTTAGACAGGCAAATTGCGTTTAAATTTTTGTGCTCATTTGTTTCAAATCAGACACGCTCCCAACTCCAATTTGAACTTGACCTACACAATCACAATAACAGAGCGTAAACTGCAGTCTAATTAGAATCGCTCTCACGCAGCTTTGCGCCACAACAGCACCGTCCGTGCTGTTAGTAGTGCCCTCTCGCTCTCGCTGCCGCGCTCTCTCAGTTACACGTCGCCGATCGCATTCATCAGTTTTGCTCTCTATTCAATAGAAATGTTAGAAAATCACTGAAATCCAACATTTGATAGCGCCAATTTGGCGGAAAAGGGAACCAGATTAAGTTGTTTTCGGGAGGGTTAACTGACAATAGCTAATTGGTGCGGAAACCGTGAAACGGCGGTCACCACGTCGCCGATCACATTAGTCAGTTTTGTGCGCGTGTCTGCGGGTCTGCCGACTAAAATATTAAAACAAACAATATCGAAACAAATAAGTGAAACACAGCAATACTTTTTAGTGAATCAAAACAGTCCGTGTTCCATGTGACACAATTAATTAACCTTCCCCCGCCCCCCTGCCCACTGTCGCGTGAGTTGAAAGCGAACGAAGCTGTTAGTGTCTGCGTCTCTCTCCCACTCTCTCGGGAATTGTTTGTGCCGCTGCTGTTATTGTTGTTGTTGTTGTTGTTGTGCCGTGATTGTCGCCTGTTTTTCACTTTATCTGCCGCCTTCTTTCACCTGTCCACCTCTCTATTGTCGTTGTCGAAGCTCCCACCCATCAACTCACTCCCACCCCACCCACCTGCCGCTTGGCAATTCAATCAATTCATTTTCCTAACAACCTCCCCGATAACTGCTTGTTCAGTCGTGTTCCGAACTTCCGACTCAGCGATCAGAAAGCTGAAAGCAACTCCGTGCGATCCCAGATCTCGGGTTCCGGTGAAAGTGTCCAGTGCGAAAGCCTCGAATCTTAGTCGTTGTAAATAGAGCCAAATACACAAAAGAAGCCTAATTTCTTGGCCACGTTTTCGATTCCCCAACAAGCCGCAGAAACTAGCCCACAATTCTCCAGAATTCTTCGTCAGTCGGCGACTCACATACCAAGCGTCTGCTCCCCGCTTCCACTTAAAGAATTCAGCCGTCCTACTGTGGACACTGGTTAATGTGAAAAATTATAAAAAATAAATAAAATTTGTTCCAAATTATCCATATTTAAACTGTCAATTTTCCTGTGTAATTGTGATTTTTAAGTTTATTTTATAAAAATTTTAAAATAACTTAAAATTTCAAAAATTAATCACACACCTATTAACGTTTAAATCGTCTTTCTTTTTTTAACAATAACAAATAAATTGTGTATGCATTTAATTTTAATACGACTATTTTAAACTTTTCGTTTATACGATTAGGTGACACTAAAATATAAATTTTTTTTATGCTTTTAAAAGTGCAGTCCTTTTACTATTCAAAAAAATTAAATTTTTTCAAATTAATAAAAAGCAACTCATTTGAATTTATAATGTAGAATACATTTGTGCTGACTCATACAAAAAGCCCTTGTGTGTCCAAGCAAATTAATAAGAAATAAGAAAGAACAGAGCGTTTCTGCTAACCAATGTCCACTGTACAATTATAAGTCGCCTTGGGGCTGAATTCCCCGTATAACCCAAGACTCGTACCTATGTATATACTTATGTATACACATCTGTATGTATGTTCGGCTGTTTTGACGTCTTTCGTCTTCAAAATTCTTCTCCAAAAACCAAACAAAGCCCCATCGAGAGCTGTCAATGACCCACGTAGACTGACGCGTTTTTCGCCCTAATATTTCTCCTTATCAGATTCGCTCGATAGCTTTTCTACTGCCTTCGAGAGTGTTGCAAACAGTGATAACTGCCATATTCCTGACAATGAAAACTCCGACCGGGTGACGCGGAACTGGGCGATCTATTCTATTCAGCGGTAACCCCGGTACCACTCGCCTCGTAAGCTCCATTGCCGATCTAAGCGCACGTACCATGTGCGGAGAGATACTCGTATTTGTGGCAGGCAAACTTTAGTATTCATGCTCGCATCTCGTTCGTGACCGAACAGATAAAACCAGGCCCAGAATCGATTGGCGTGCATCCGCGGAAGTGCAGTGGCGAGAGGGTCGGAAGGTATCCCATACTCACTCTCGCGCTAATGATAAGAATTCGTCCCATCGTCGTCGTTTTTTCTGTTCCACCAAAATGATAGTCATCAATGCCTCTGACGTAAGTGGCCCCCACTAACTTATATGTATACTTATGCCCATTCACATATGTATGTTTGGGATTGGGTCGATGGTTATATGGTTGTGGTACTTGTTTTTAAGTAAATGTATGGCTGTCCGCAGAAAAGTCTGCCCAATCTTACGACTTCCTCTCCTTCCAGAAGCCCTGAAAGATGCTCAGAACTAGGCGCGCCATTAGTATTTTCATAGAGGAGCAGGTATTATATATATTATATCAGATGTAACTTCGCCATTAGGATGGGAAATTCCAAAAGTTGAAGTTCTGGTTAAGTCTTTGCATTTATAATCGAAGGCGGCTTGTTGGAATTTACAGCCCAAGACTTGGTTGCAAATTAACTGACCCTGGCTTATGTAATCTCTAGTAATACCCCGTCTACCAGGTGAAGTCTATCCGGTTTACCGGGAAGGGACTGCCTGGTACTGAGCGATTAACTCGTTTGGAGATATGAATAGAGTGTGGGAGAATTGTTACAGCAGTTGTTTTGGGGAGGTACTAGTTTCCTATCATTCCCCACCGGATTTTTGGGGGCACCAAACTCTCGATCATCAAAACTCGTACTCAAATATGCCAATCACGTTTCGCAACTATTTTTTTTAGAACGTTTGCGCCAAAGCCACCGCTTTCAAGTGCACAATTCCATTTTACAAAGCACTATTTATTTGCCTTTCAAAAAGCAACAACTGTGAGCCAGTTTTTTGCGCTCAGCATTTGAGTACACAAACCCAAAAAGAGAATATTGCCGCCTTAGGGGTGGTGAGGGGTTGTGAGAGGAAGGGCCGTCAAACAGACGGACCAGCAAAGTTTAATGTCGTCCAATAAAAGAACAAGAAATGTCTGCCCACCTAGAGCCCCTCACGTGTGAAATGGAACTAGCTATTGGATAGTTTATAAGTAAGATTTTCTACCAGCGAATCGCAATTTTTTGTCCCATGATAGTATTCAAATTTAGGCAGCCTCCCCTTTTTATTGACTCTGTCTCGACCTAGTGGAATGAATCGGATGATTTGTGAAAATGTGCTAATGTACTCTATCAGCCCTCCTTTTCAGTTGGTTCCATTTCACCAAATACTAATTGAAGTACGCAAACAAAAAAACAGAAAAAATTAAAATTGATGTGTGCATTATATTTCCCGCATGAGCCACAATGGCAGTTTTTTGTTTAAATGATGCATGAAGCTTTGCGAAACTAACTAAAACCAACTTCCCCGCCCATCCTCATCATACATTTGCATTGCATTATCTAAGAGTCGAGCAATTTGAATGTTGTGTGCACGAGTAGCAATGCTGTGGAATGTAAAGCTAAAATTTCTAATTAAAATGCGTACCACGCGGTTTATATTACGAATACTCAAAGTTAGAAGATGGATAATTCCCTTTGGGCCCTGAACTTATTGGCATTTTTTAGGAATAAGCTTAATACCTGTAACGTGTGGAGCAACTGCTATATGGTTTATTTAAAAATTAATTTATTACGACTATTTTTAAAATAATATTTTTCTTATTGAAATGTTATATTTAATTTGGTTTTTAATAGCCTATGACTTTTCTTATTATCATTTATTGAATTTAATTTAAAGTTTGTCAAATTATAATCAAATCTAATTTTTTTTTTAGAATATAGTAACGAATGAATTAATTGTAATAAGCTATAGTTACTTATATTATATTTTTCAACTTAGACAGCAAAATATCGCTATCTAAGCTTAAATATGTTACAGAACATTTTTATTCCTACAATATGGGTAAGCAAAATCTTGCACCGCAAAACAATTAAGAAAAATTGCTACTTGGAGGGACTTCTACCAATTTTTCAAAATTAATTTAAACCAAAATAATTGATTACCTTAATATTAGTTCAATTGTAAAATAACTTAAAAAAAATTGACAAGGATTTATTAGTTGGTAAACTACCTTATGAAAATCATCAGCTGTTTTTAAATACTTAATTAGAATAACAGATAAATGGGAGTAATAGCATTTAATTCGACTGAAGATGAATTCTGTTTTCAAGAACATTAATGTCTTTTACTAATTGAGGAAGTCAGTTTCTCACTTCTTCAGAGGGATGGAACCCGTTTCATGTCCTCTTACATAGTTTTGCACAAGTACAATGTACCCTTTTCACTCTGAAAGTAGATAACTAACACAGGGAACAACCCTTTTGGAGGTGGTTGGGCGGTCTCAACGGGAAGTCTGCCAACTGTGGTGGGACTCTAAGAATAATGACAAACTTGTTGACAACTGCAAATTAGCCAGGGTTCTGGGGGATAATGGTTGTTCTTGGCCATTGAATTTGTTGTCGGGGACTAAGTGAAAATGGGAACAAGAATTGCAGAGATTGGCTGCTCAAAAATGGTGGTCAAAAGTTTAGTAAGTTGTTGAAACTAAAACAGCTTGGCACTTTGGGACTTTCTTGCATGCGCACTATATTACTGATTACTACAAGTTATTAAAATGAAGTTCCTAACCCTCCGTTTTCTCCCTCCCCAGACGGGTCTAACCCTCACACCCGAGATGTTGTTATCCACCTCGGAATCATCGACCCACAGCGCCTCCGAGGTCGCCGGACGACTGCAGGTGGACGTGCGGACCGGCTTGAAATGGACGGAGGCCAAGTACCGTGCCAAGATAATCGGACACAATGAGCTGCTGCTCGTCGCCGAGGAGCCCACCTGGAAGAAGTACATTGAGCAGTTCCGCAACCCGCTCATCCTACTACTCTTGGGCTCGGCCCTGGTGTCCGTGATCATGAAGCAGTTCGACGACGCCGTCAGCATAACCATCGCCATCCTGATCGTGGTCACGGTGGCCTTTATCCAGGAGTACCGCTCCGAGAAGAGTCTGGAGGAGCTGAAGAAGTTGGTGCCGCCGGAGTGCCATTGCCTGCGCGAAGGTCGCTTGGATACCTTCTTGGCACGCGAATTGGTTCCCGGCGACATTGTTCACCTCAATGTGGGCGATCGAGTTCCGGCGGACGTGCGACTTTTCGAGGCCGTGGACCTTTCCATCGATGAGAGCAGCTTCACCGGCGAAACAGAGCCGGCTCGCAAGATTACCGACGTCCTGCTGAACAACACGAACGTGAAGGATCACAGCAACATGAAGAACATTGCGTTCATGGGCACTTTGGTGCGCTGTGGCAACGGCAAGGGCATTGTGGTCAGCACCGGGGAGCGCAGCGAGTTCGGCGAGGTCTTCAAGATGATGCAGGCCGAGGAGGCACCAAAGACGCCGCTGCAGAAATCGATGGACATCCTGGGCGCCCAGTTGAGCTTCTACTCTTTCCTGATCATCGGCGTCATCATGCTGCTCGGATGGCTGCAGGGCAAACCGCTCTCCGAGATGTTCAACATCAGCGTTTCGCTGGCAGTGGCGGCTATTCCCGAGGGTCTGCCCATTGTGGTGACTGTAACCTTGGCCCTTGGCGTCATGCGAATGGCCAAGCGGAATTCGATTGTGAAAAAGCTACCCACTGTGGAGACTCTCGGTTGCGTGAATGTCATCTGCTCCGACAAGACGGGCACTTTGACCAAGAACGAGATGACAGCCACTATTATCATCACCTCTGATGGCTACATGGCGGATGTGACCGGCGCTGGATACAATGACCAAGGGGAGATTCACATTCGGCACTGCAACAACGTGGAGATGGCCAAGACAAATATTACCAACCTCCTGGAAATCGGAGCGGTCTGTAACAATGCTTACATCCAGAATGGCACGCTGCTCGGCCAACCCACCGAAGGAGCCCTCGTGGCGGTGGCCATGAAGAACGGCATGTACGCCACGGCCGAGAACTATGTTCGCATCCAGGAGTATCCCTTCAGTTCGGAACAGAAAATGATGGCTGTCAAGTGCATCCACAAGTACAACAACAACAAGGAGGAGATTTTCTTCGCCAAGGGGGCGCTGGAAACCCTCCTGCCGCAGTGCACCAAGTACCAGTTCGGCACCCAGACGGTGCCGCTGACCAAGCAGAACGAGGCCGAGTTCCTAGCCGAGGCGTACGAGATCGGACGCAAGGGCCTCCGAGTGCTGGCGTTGGCCAAGGGAAGGTCCATGCAGGATCTGGTCTACTGCGGCCTGGTCGGCATTACCGACCCACCGAGGCCCCTCGTCCGGGAGTCCATCGAGATGCTGATGCAGAGCGGCGTGCGGGTCAAGATGGTGACCGGAGATGCCCAGGAAACGGCCTTGGCCATTGGTGAGTAATTGGGGGATTTCTTGGTGGTATGTATAGTATAAAGTATATAGTATACATAGTATGCACGAGTAAGTAAAAATATACTCGATTACTACTCGGCGATGCCGATTCCAACTGTCAAATCTGGCATCGTGGCATCGTAGAATCGTAGGCATCGTCATCGTTTTACTCATATCTGACTCGTGTTTTTTATTAAACAAAATCAACTAAAATTCTTGTCAGAACAAGAGGAACTAATATAGACCAAGATATCACAATTGTAACCTAAGACCATAGATTAACTCTTTAACAATATGAAACCGCGAATTCTTTAGAACAAGAGGGTTTCTTTTTTTCTGTTTTAACGACATACACGAAATCTTGACCAAATGAGACCGCGAATTCTTTGGAAGAAGAATAACCATTAAAGGATTATATCCATAAGTCGTATGGGTTTGTTGTTTTTAACTATGATTTTTCTATACACGAACTCTAACAAAATTTACCCGCCAATTCTTTAAAAGAAGAGAAAATTTCATTAAAATGTATTTTGAAGTGTCAAAATTGAAATTTGTTGGCAATGCTACGATGCAACTCGTACGATTCTACGATGCCGAGTATGTATACTCAAAGATTTTCAAAACTTAATTCTGAATCAGTTTCGCTTCCCTGGCAATCGGAAAAGGTCCCTTTTATGACGACTTGCTTGAGTCAAAACCCAATTATAAAGTCTTTAAGCAGCATCTTTGTCGGGCCATTCTATCCACAAATTGTTGGCCCTAACAACTACTGCTAAGCCAACCGAAACTATGTAAATAAATTTGTCCAGGCCGCATAATTAAAAGTGGCAAGACCACGCCCCTTGACAAGCCACAATTTATGGCTAAGAAGAAGAAACGAGTCGAGTATTCCACAGCGGACGCATGAACTCTGAACTCCCCACATCGACGAGGACATGTGAGCGAGTGAAGGGTTCTGCTCAAGGGATTGCAGCTCCGTACAATGGAGCGAGTGCCAAACCGGCCTCATAGTAGGCAAACAGAATTAATTAACCATGGACAAGTGGCCAGAGTTTCAAGTTTTTCAACTCAAGAAGTTCTTCTTGTGGGCAACTCCTTTTAGGACTGCATGTGAGTTGAGTTCTGAAGTTTTTCACTCAAAGCTGGAGTTAAAGTTACATGAAATCGTTGCTAGGGTCGTATAAAGAGTTCCCTGACTTCAATATTCAACTCGTCGGGTTTAGGGAATCTAAAAAAAAATGCACTTGCTAAACGAGAAGCGGACAAATACAAAGATACATAGCTCACCAAATTGGAAAAGATAGCGCGCGCACAAAGCACAAAAGAGTCGGTGGAAAGGTGAGAAGGGAAGCCAATCTCAGGTAGCCGGCTCCTTTGGGGTTCCACGGTGGAACAGCAGCCCCACATCAAATATCCTGAAAAGCAGAAAAAAAACGTAGGAAAATAACAGAAGAGAGCATCGACATCGTTGTCAGCAGTCAGAGATAATTAACTGAGGCCCTCAGCTCTCCGCATCCCCAATATATTTATCGCAGACCCAGAATCTCGTCTACATCATGCTCATCATTTGCGCATCTGCGGCGGACAGGCATCCATCATCTGCATGTAGAACTGACTACTGAGTACTTCGCAGAAAACCAGCTCAATATACTTCGCCTCATCTCCGAAATTTGATTTTAAATATTTCAATTTCGGCTTGCCTTTTCACATAGATAAAAGTTTAATCAACATCCCCTATTTGGTCATTTCTATGCATTTGTTCCTTGCCATTTCTGTCTGCAATCCGCTTTTAAGCTATCTAATTGGTCGGCTTACCGTAAAATTCCACTTACGTCTGAAACCCCAAATGCTTTGTCTATTAACTTGCTTTTTTAAGCTGAGTAGCTTGGAGCCAATTGTATCGGCTAATCCTGAAATTTTCCATTTTTTTTAAAGGAGAGTGGAATGATAGAATTATCTACAGTATTTGTATTTTATTTAAAGTGCCAATTAGTTTCAATTTTTCGAGGCGGACTATTGGTTTACAAATTTTGTACAAGTAATGGAATTCAAGCAGTGCAATCAGTGGCTTTGCTGCATGCATATCTCTTATAGTCGAGGTTCTCTCTTGCTTTTGTACTGAAAACTTTGGAATTTATTTCAATGTTTTTATTTTTATACTACGAATTTTGGTAGTATTTCAAGGTTATCATACGTAAATATGCTCGTCTTAATCACTACATATTTTTTTACCCAGCGAGTCGCACTTCCAATTAGCAAAGTGCACTTCGGAATGCACTCTGGAATCGGCAGGATAATCCTGCATGTGCAGATCCCTTCCAGAAGTAATTATTGACGAGAGTCGGGGGAAACAAAAGAAGAGGGAAGTCAGCAGCCAGTCGAATGAAATCGTCACGTATAGCACCTTGCTTAACAACCTAAAGAAGCATCATCCAGCTTCCAAGGCCGGTACTTTGGACTACAAATGCAAATGGCATTCGCAGAGAAAACTTTCTTTACGCGTTCGTGACCATGCGATGCTTTCAATTACCAAATGAAAGATTGCACTATTTCCTCGACGGTGTTTTTATAGAGTTTGTTCTCGGCTTTGTTCTTTAGAACATTGTGGACCCTTTCTCTATGATTTTGCATGTTTATTTCAATATGGAGCCCTTCACACTCCGATTCCCTGCGTGAGTTTGGTCTGGATGGCTTGGCTTTCAAAGTGCCTGCTCAAGTGGTAAACAAAATGCTTGTTGCACAGTTTTGGGCGCTTTACGTTTTCATAAACTTTGCAGCGACAAAATGCAACTTTTGCCTTCGGGTGCACACAAGATTATGCCTAATCCGCTTTCGGCTTGCGGTGGTGCTGCGCTTTGTGACAATTTTATAAGCTTCTATATATTTTTCGTTTCTTTCCCTTTGGCTCAGCTCGACTTTTTCTGCATCAAATGCGATGACAAGGACATGTTCCGTTTAGCGAACCAAAAACAAAGTTTCCGTGGTATGTTATTTTTCCTGCCGCAACGTAATTTTTTACAAGTTACTCGTGGGGAAAAAGAGTGCATTGTATTAGGGGTAAAGTAGAATAGTACGTATTTACGGCTTAAGTGTCGATTGAAAATCGTATAGCTACTTGAACCAAACGATATAAGTAATTTAGGATTCATTTCACAAAATGTACCTTCATGAATGCTATTTTGAATCGCTATTTTAAAGAGAGAGAAAAAGGACAAAAGGAAAAATTTTATTTGTTGCCAAACCCCACACTTCAAATAATTTAAGAATTGGTTTATTGGAATAATATAACAGAAGAAGACATTTACTTTGCTTATGCTATGAATTTCATGCATTTTTTTTAATTGATTGAAAATAATTTGTAATACTAAGAAATGGAAATAATTTATTGAATTTAAAAACCAACAATTTAAATTGAATGTTACTACTGAATATGTAGTAACACGCTCCTATAAATTAGCTCCAAGGCTGTATCAGCATGCAACATGCTAGAATCATAAAAAACAACGCAGAATATCTCGCGCTGCAATAAAGCATTGTTTCATTCTTTATTCGATTTTATTTTTTCCGATATTGCGACAAAATTTAAGTTTTATGGAGGGCTTATGAATGTTTCCGGCGTGGCAGACGCACTGCTGTCATCAGCAGAAATTGAAAACCGATTCGGAATTGCCGTTTTCCTTGACGCAGACGCCAGGTAAACAATGGCAACATCCGCTGAATCCGTATGTCACTCCTCCAGCCCGTTGACCCTGCTGCTCTAGCGTGAAAATTGAAAACAGACGATTCGCTTTTGCGGTCAATGGCGCTGCTTCGATGTGCTGGCACAGATACAGCTTGATAAATGGAATTTTTAATCAATTTTAATATTGCATTGCCAATTCAAATAGTCGGGGGTGTCACAGAAAATTTGTCCAAGCTAAAAATTCCAATAGTTCAGGGTCATTTGGCCTAATAAAGCTGTTTTAAAATGTTATCTCTAGTATAGCAAACATTATTCTGCCTGACTAGTTTTTTTTTAAATGTTAATTTTTTTTCAGCATTGTTAAAAATGTCTATCATTAGTCATTTTTATTTTAGTCATCCGGAAACTGTTGATTCATGAAGGGGTCTATTTAATTAAATGTGATTTTTGTTAATGCTGATAAAGAAAATATAATAAGCTTTACCAAAAGAAATTTGGTGAATTAGCTTCAAAGTTTATCACCCATACACACCGTTGCTTTTGTTTTATCTAGGTGGCGTAGATTTCACTATTCTTTTGATGATTTGCTCTCCCTTTTGTTAACTAATTATTACGGCGTATTTCATAATTGGAAAAGAAAACTTCGAGGACGATTCGGAAGGTCTAAGTCTTGAAAGTCTTAGTTTTCAGAGAAAAATAATTCCTTTTTTGGACCACCCTAATGTACATACTTCTTTACTAATACATTTCTTTACTGTACATTTTTGTTGGAAAATATGCGTCTCTTGAAGACCAACCTGCCCTCCTTTGAAGCAGCCAAACATCCCGGCGAGCAAACTACAACTGGGCCGAGATAATGGCGGCCACTGGAGTTTGTTTAGGTTCAAATTGGCACCAAGGCGACCGCCGTCTGCAGGCAACCGGCTCCTCGATGGCCTGGGTATTAAGCCAGGAGACCGCAGAGACCCGAATAGGAGAATAGTTGGCCACCTCTGTAATTTCCCGCAGCAGCCCGGTGGCGAGCTGCTTTTAATTGTCTGGGACTGGAAGCAGGCGAGTAGGGATTCGAGTCGCTGAATGCGTTTTAATTACGTCTTCTTTTGCTCATTTCGCCGCGCATCCTTCCACCCTGTTGCTTTTGTTGCAGATTGTTATTATTTACTTCAGTGCACTCTGGCTAGAATTTTGTGCAAACAGGACAACAGGAAGAGCACGAGGAGCTCTGGGGATAGGACAAATACGCGGGCGCCATAATGAAAAATGGCGACGCGACTTTTTGCGAAAGTTCTCCTTGGGGCTATTGTTGTTGCCCCTGTCTCCCGCAGCTGCTGCACCTGCCACCCATTGTGCGCACTTCATAAATGCGCTCGAAAGGAGCAGGAAATGGTATCGGGAGGAAAGGAAAGGGAACCCAGTCGATCCTTCTGAAGTTTTTCAACTTTATTGCTTGGCTTTCAATTGAATTTTCGAGAAGCAAACACACCCAAGAAATTAACAATTGTTTTTGCATTTTCGCCTGCACGGAGAAAAAAAAATAGTCATCCATCGGGGATATTATTTCTTATCAATTTTGTTCCGTTCTGTGTTCATTAGGGCGGTCCAAAAAATGAAATTCTATTCTCACCCCTTCACATGGTATATTAAAGTAGCAAAAAATGTATGTGAAAAAAAAAAATTTTTTTTTGAGATTTAGACCTTGCGAAACGTCTTTAAAGTTTGCTTTAAAATTACTTATACGACACGTATAACAGCTCGAATTTTGTCGAAAAAAGTCGTTCTCCTATTTCTTGTCTTGTCAAATTATGAACTTCGTTGAAATAATTGGTAAAAAAGGAGAGCAAAACATCAACTTAATTGTTGAAATCTATGCCACCTTGATTAGAAAAACTTTTTGATCGAAGGCAACAGTGCGTATGGGTGATAAACTTTGAAACTTTTGGTATTCCTTGAGTACCACAATGCGCACCGTATAGGCGGGTGAGAGTAGGACCTTACAAATTTCCATACAAATATGGACCGCCCTACTGTTCATATCAAAATTATATGAATTTGTATCATATTAAAATGAAATCTTACCATTTTGTTATGTAAAAATTGATATGAAACAATATCAATCCCATATTGTCCCGTTTTTCTCTCTGTGTGGCGAATAAAATCCAAGTCGACGGCTTCAAGCTGTGCCGGCACACACGCGACTCCTGGCGAGGCACTTCACCACTTTCGCCTGTTGCTCCGGTGTAGTTCAGCGCCAATTGCTTGGAAAATGCAATGAAAGGCGATTTACTTGACTGCGTTGGCACAACAAAGGGGCTTGGGTGCCAGGTGAGGACGGATTACAAGGCATTAGAAGTGGACTCGAGGATGGAGGGTTAAGCCCTTTTCCTCTGACATTGTTTCCATTGAATAATGGCAGGCATTCTGTACTTACGAGACTTTACCCCTTACCTCCACTTGCAGCGAATCTCATCGGCATCGATACGATCCACCACCAGACGCTATCCGGCCAGGAAATCGATCAGATGAACGAGCACCAGCTGGACAAGGTGGCCAACAACGTGAGCGTCTTTTACCGCGTATCGCCGCGCCACAAACTGGAGATAGTGAAGTCCCTGCAGCGCACTGGGAACATAGTCGGGATGACTGGCGACGGTGTGAATGACGGAGTGGCCCTGAAGAAGGCGGACATCGGCATTGCTATGGGCAAAAATGGGACGGATGTGTGCAAGGAGGCGGCCGATATGATTCTGGTCAACGACGACTTCCACACCATCATGTGAGTAGACTTAATGGAGCGTTTAGGGGGGAGATACATATAGAACTGCATTTTTTTAATTTTTTTCGTAATTTTCTTTTTAAACTAATAAGGGGTTGTGCTGGAACTTCGCAACTTGGCATGTTGATTACATTGTTCTTGTATAATAGTAAGCAATTTTTATATTTTTTTATCCTTTAAATTGGCGGCCGTGGGAATCTTTTTGTCAGATTAGAATAAAAAAAGTAGGCCAGCTGCGGATCGTCCACAGGTCGCTGTGTAGATCCGATTTTTATGAAACCAAATATATTTTTTTTAAAGAAATAATGTAGAAAATGTCTAAGCCTAAATTACATAGAATATATTAAAATCTCTGGTTGTGGCACTTTTTCAAATGAAAAAAATTAATTTTTTTCATATTTTTCCTTAAAAAAAAATACTTAAACGTACAAATTTCTACATGAAGTAGGTTCAAACAGTGGTCAGTTTCATTACTAACATTTCTGTAAAAGTAGCATGATGATGGAAGCATTACTTTTTTAGATACACGATCTGCAGATGTGAAAACCATGAAAATTAAATTTTTTTTTTTAAATGTATCTCCCCCTTAATGACCAGTTAATTAGTTAAAAGTCGAGCTTAACTTAACTTTCTTCGCTTACAGCGCCGCCATCGAGGAGGGCAAGGGCATCTTCTACAACATCCGGAACTTTGTGCGCTTTCAGCTGAGCACATCCATAGCCGCCTTGGCCCTCATAGCACTGGCCACGCTGATGGACATTGCCAATCCGCTGAACGCCATGCAGATCCTGTGGATCAACATCATAATGGACGGTCCGCCGGCCCAGTCGTTGGGCGTGGAGCCCGTGGACCATGACGTGCTCAAGCAGAAGCCGCGCAACGTCAAGCAGCCGATGATCACGAAGTCGGTGGTGGTGAATGTTTTGCTCAGCGCCAGCATCATAGTGCTCGGGACGCTGTGGGTCTTTCAGCGCGAGATGGCCGACGGGACGCTGGGCAAGACCAAGCGGGACACGACCATGACCTTCACTTGCTTCGTATTCTTCGACATGTTCAATGCGCTCTCCTGCCGCTCGCAGACGAAGAGCGTCTTCACCATCGGCCTGACCACCAACCGCATGTTCCTGCTGGCCGTCGCCTTCTCGATTATTGGCCAAATGCTGGTCGTCTACTTTCCGCCGCTGCAGATGGTCTTCCAGACGGAGGCCCTGACGCCCTACGACATCTTCTTCCTGGTCTCGCTCACCTCCTCCGTGCTGGTCGTCTCCGAGATAAAGAAGTGGTTCGAGCGCACCATGGAGCGCAAGATGTACAGCACCCGCTCCGAGCTGGACTTTGTATGACAAAACGCAAGCGCTAGAGACGATTTGCATCCAAAAGCCGAGTAAATTAAACTAAACTAACTAAAAAAAAACCCATAAAAAAAGCAAAACTATGCCAAAACAAGCGAGGAGCGCGGAAGCAGAAGCCGGAACAGGATGTGTGTGTTTACTTTTACATTTGACTCGACCAATTAGCGGAGATTTGATAAATCGACAATGTGGGTTTCGACCAGACTGTGGGCGTAACAGGGATTTTCATAGATTTGACGTAAGCTTCCAGGTTGGTTCTTTGCTCTCTCTCTGTTATTTTTGCCTTGTTCTATGATTTGCAAAGAGTTTTGTTTTATTTTAATGTACTGTATTGTGTTTATCATCTAAGTAGACAATTTGTGTGTAGAACTATTCTCTTTGTATGACTTATTTTAAAACAGTTTCCAAAACTATTGATATCTCAGCGTTAAGCGCGTAAAATTCATTAAATTCTCCAATTGGCTGCATGCCTACCCTTGCACCTACTTTCCATTTCCATTCTACGTCTAAGTGCTGCTCTAGTTTTAAATGCTCATCACGCAAATTAAGTCAATTCGAAGTGTTTAATATTTTATAAAAATGTCGGCAAAAACAGTTTAATGTGATATTATTTTAAGCACATAAACCAGATCATCTCACAAGTGGGGGAAGTGCAAATCTTTAATTTATGTTCATTTGCATCTCAGCTTGTGGGGTTAAATATTTTAGTTTTGAAAAATAAAACTTAAACTGTAAAGAAATTGTAAACCATTTCTGATTATTATAGATTTACCTCTTTTTTCCCGCAGCGAAGCAACCGGATCTTAGATGAAGTGATCGGTGTCGTGAATCCGATTAAGTTCAACAGGCAAATGCAGAAAGGATATGAGTAAAACAGGGCAAGGAAAGGACTAAGCAAAGCATGGTGTAGTGAAATAAAACATGGTTTTTTTTTTGGTAATTTTGAAAAATAATTTATTCGGAATTTGAAAAGCAAACAATCAATTTGTGTACCTACCATCAACGCAAATCGAAGCTCTAGCGCGTTAGCAATTAAAAAGATATTTTTACATTGGAACATCAAATGGAGGGTGAAAATCCAATACAATGCATAGTTTTAAATTGAAAAAAAATTCGCAGACAGTTTTTCTTGTTTAGGATAGGATTTGCTATCTATTGTAACAGAGCAATGCACCAAACAAAATGCAAAATTTCACAAAGCAAAGAGCACCGATTACTTAATTGTAAAGTAATTTGTCAAATTACGACCGTCTTTTTATTCTTAAAATAGCTTGAAGCTATGTACTTACCGAAATTCAGTTTCAGAATTATAATAGTGATGCAATACGAGTAAGAAATATACGAAAGCAACGTATCTAGCGAATTGTAATCAAAAGTATGCATCTTATTAGTCAATTAATGCATTTTTAATACATAAAAAGGAATATTTATTAAATTCAATAGAATACCAAGAGAAATCTCAACTATATAATGAAAATCTTTAAATATCATTGACATTCGATTCATATCATAACTCAGAAGGCTTGTAACCCCATTGAAGGCATTTTCACATGTAGAACCGAACAGATTTCACTGATGCACTGGGAGCATATCACATTTTTCGATGGTGTTTGTTTTCTATCAACAAAACTATGAAGGCATTTGTCACATATTTCACAATTTCGTTGAATGGAACTCATTTTCACGCTGCTATTGCAAGTAATGGACCAATCAAGAAATTATTTATTTTATCACACACATTAAGATCAGGCTTAGCTCGTCAGAGACACACTCTCATATATCAAGGCAAGAAAAATACAAAAAAAAAATGAAAAATATAGAAAATTAAATATATAAAAAAAAAAAAAATTGTATTGAAAAAAGCTCGTTCAACACGGCAAGCAATCAAAGGCTCATTAAAATACCCACGCATAAAGACACACTAAAAGTACACAACACATGAAACACACAGGTCTACACCCACTCACATTCACTCACATCTCATCCACAATGGTAACAATAATTAGAAAATTAAGGGTATTTATTAATATGAAAAAGGAAATGAATGTCTGAAGGAAAATAAAAATTGCACCAAATAATATGCATATATTAGTCAAAACAGGTATACACTAATTTATGGAACTAAAAGAAAAACTACTCAAAGTTGTGTATAAGTAAAACCCGCAATCGGTCTTTGCGATATACAATAATCTATAATGTTTGATTATATTAAACGAATTAGTAACCACAGAAATATTCATTACTGTCTATGAATAATACGTGAGCCTCTAATATACCTATGTTAGTGTAAATGTCTAGCAATGCCGGCTAATTCTATGGCACTCAAAATTATGTTCCCTGATTTCATTATCTACTAAATTATAGTTTCAATAGGGTTCGGTTAAATGGAATGTACAAACTAATGGCAAACTTACAAATTCGTAAAGTACTTCTTAGAAAAAGCTTAACCTAAAAAATAACTATAACTATCTGTGCTATTAAATGTAAGCTTTAAGAATATATACACATATAGATAAATACCAGGCGTAAAGCAAATACACTTTCATATTTCGGAAATATTTGGTACTTTCCCCTCCGCACTAGACATTATTTAAATTGCACTTTCATCGTTGTTTTATGGAAGCCACCTCTTAACAATGTCAAAGTAAACAAAAGAATTTACATAATTTAATTTAATTTCGCAAACCGAATAATATTGGACAAAATAGTTTATATAAAATGTATTATGCAACGGTAACAATACTAATATATTTAATATTTATCTGTGGAATATCGCGAAACAAATATTTACTGAATATAATAAACTTTATGTAGTAAATACTTTTGGTGATGAATATCTTTAATTTTCTGAGGAGTAGAGGGATTGGCTTGAACAGAGGGAATTATAACTTTGGTAAGAAGATTTTAGAAGAATTTAGCGCCACATTTTAAAAATGTCGGATGACTATCGATTTATTTCTACGGTCAGTGCTTACACACCCACGTGACGAATTAGAAACACTTGAATTTCTCGAAAACTGTTGATTATAATTGAATGTAACTTGTTTTGTAAATAGTTTATTTAATGAGATAGGTTTTAAGATACAGTGCAACTTGGAAAACGTTCTGTGAAAGGCGTAATAATTATTTTTAAATTAGCTCTGAAATCGAATTTGTGTAGCGGTCGTAGAGGTTCGTGTCACGGCTGGCCATTTGGTTCTTGTACAGGAGTAACTTCTAAATAAATAGCTAGGAAAAAGCTAAATCTGTAAGGAAATGATAACAGAGATGAATAACAGAGTTTTAACTCACAACTGCTAACACAGCTGTTTGACGTCGCGTTAGGACATTTTACTTTCCGCCGTTTGCCCAACTTTTGACTGATCCGATTTATTTATGTGCTTTTTGAGTTAAAAACAATACAAAACGATGTCATTCTTAGCGCAAGGAGTGCGCCAGGTGCTGCGCCAGCTGCCCAAGCAAAGCGTCTCACTAGCAGGTGAGTGGATATGCAATAAATAGCGATGTAAACAATGTGACATAACAAGGGTGCTCACTTTTTGTAGGTGCCATGCGTTCGCTGAGCATTTCGCCGGCTGTGGGGCAGCAAAACAAGCCGGCGACGGAATCGGTGGATATATCCGCCATAGCCAAGGATCAGCAGAAGGAGTGCCAGAACATTTGCGAGCGAATCAACCGCCAGGTGCAGAAGTCCGAGCAGGGACGCCTCTTCGCAGTGGTTCACCTGTGCGGCAAGCAATTCAAAGTAACTCCTGGCGATGTTATCCTGGTGGAGGGCTATTGGCCCCCAACGATAGGCGACGAGATCAGTCTGGACAAGGTCCTTTTGGCCGGCGCCAGGGACTTCACCCTCGTGGGCAGGCCCATTCTGGAGCCCGGACTCATAACCGTGAGGGCCACCGTGGTGGAGAAGACGCTCAGCCACACGAAGACCCACTTCCGCAAGAAGCGCAGGAAGCAGTACATGAGGATCAACTTCCAGCGATCACCGCACACCATGGTCAGGATCAACTCCATCGAACTGACCCGTCCGGTAGACGGGAAGGGCGAGGCGGAGCTCCCGAAGCGCTTGTTTTAGTTTAAAATGCTGTTGATCAAGAAAAATAAACCAAATCTTTGGAAGGTAATTAAGAAATCAAACTGAAAACGTTTATAAAGATTATTTACAGGTGTCTTTAGACGCTAGGGAATATTCCCGAACTTAAGAACTTAATATTTGGAAGGGACTTTATTTATTTGATTCTCCTTGAAATGTATCTCTTAAGTTATATACATTTCCTTTATTATTTTCACATTTTACATAAACAATTTTTAAATCGTTAATATTTACCAAAATAACTTAAGAGTTTATTGACGTAAACTTTTATATTATTAATTCTTTATTATTATTAATTCATAACAGGAAAAAGCGCTTGATCAGTTGCTTAAAAATAGGAAATATGTATTTTATTTTCATAAAACTTAAAATTCTTAAGCCGTGACATTTTCGAGCTATCTGGCAGCGCACATCCAACCATTTTCACCCGTCTGGCAGCCCCTGAAAAATACAACATTTTTCTATCAATCCGGCAACTACTCCGCCAATTTCAAAAACTAAAAATCTTACATTTACTAAACACTTTTCATGCTCACTTTTGCTTTTGATCTTCCAAAGAAAATGCCCTTCTGCCATCGTTTTTTGTTTTTTCCATTACAAATTCCCCTTTCATCTTGATTCAATGACTGTGGCGAGTTCATCACGATGCTCGTCAGTATTTACCCAAAACGGCAACCTAGTTTGAAATATGAATCACCCAACTCCCGACTTTCTGCACCACAACAAAGGCAAGGCGCCGTCTCTAATGAAGCAGCCAGCAGCAACCGCTGCAATTTTAATGACAACCTTTTATCGTCCATGTTGTTGTTGCCATCTTTCATTAAAAGACGTCGGCTGCACCACCACCACCCCAATGGTGCCTTGCACCACCCTGAACCACCCACTCGACGATTTATAAACTGCATGTGAAGCACGGGATGCCTGCTGCTTTCTTTATCAGCAGATGTAAGTTGCTCCCGAGTCGGCGGCTGTCGTATTTGTTTACGCTGCTCTTTCACTTTTCACTAACCAAAGGCGTTTACTTTTTAGCCTTTGCCTGGTAAAGCTTTTGCTTTTCCCTGGCCCCATTATCCCGTTTGGCCTTTCCGGTTTCAGATTTGCTCTGGGGGAAATAAAAAATTTAAGAATCTGTGAGCTTAAAGAGGATCTAGGCTTCCATTACTGCCAAACTATTATTGGCACTTTTTAATTAAATATTTTAGGTGCAAAAACCGAAGTGTTTAATCTGTCTATACAGGCTAATTTTATCTATTTGAACTGATTTTGGCTAGCACTTTTACCCTGGTCACTAGACATCGGATTATAAGCAAAATACCGTTTTTAACGTTCAAATTCAAGCGAACTGAGTTAAGATACAATTATTAAAAACAAAATCAAACATTTTTAAGGCCCCAATCTAATTTGGAATTTAAAAAAACAATTAATCTTTAATCAGAGATCGCTAGAAATCGAATGTTTATAATACCTTTTAATATATATTCCGATGTTTGAACACAGAATACATACAAAATGGAATGTGTACTGCTTAAAATAGGTAGAGCAAAGGGTGTATGTATATTTATGTATAATTCAAACATAATTTAAGTACTTTATTTTTTGATTAATCACTCACTGTTATTTTGCCAACCCATTTAGCTTTAATTCAATGTGATGTCTTCGCCTCAGCGCTCCTGGCGGCATTCGACTTGACACCTTCTAAATAAAATCACTTTCGCTCCATATAAAAATGCCATTAAAAATTATGGTTTCGCATCCGTTTCCCCTTTCCCCAAAAGGAGCCGACGACGTTGATGCGTCTAATGGTGCCACATCAAATTTCGCAAATTGCACAAGCAGCACAAATTCAATTGTCGACACTTCGGGCAAGTTTTGCTCAAATATCCATCACAAAAATGTATATTCCGCTGCACTTTGCCAGCGACAAATCAAATTTCAATATGGAAAAGAGTATGCGGAAAATATAAACACAAATTGAAAGCATTTTGGTGTGACAAAATTTCACCTGACTGCCTGCACTGCTTGCCTCGGCAAGTTTTGGGCATTATACTCCTTCTACTTTTCGGGTTGATTATGTTATTTGCCTAGGAAAATTGCATTTGATGTGCGTTAAGTGACAAAACGGAAATTGCCACCAAGCGGATGCTGGGTTTGTTTGTCTTCTGATGGCGCCCCACGCCCTCCATTCTCCTGTTCCTTCGCAAAACCACCCACCGTGGAAGTCCATCTAAGCCACCACTTTCTGCCAGCCCTCCTCTCTCCCTTTTGGTCGCCGTGAAAATCCCATGTAAATGCGGCTCAAGTTGGTCCAAATTTCCTAAATTTATGCGTAGAAGCGTGTGATGTATGAGGCCCAAAAGGGAGAAGGCAAAAGAAAGGGGGAATGTGGACGCAAGCACTGGAAAAAAATGTATAAATCAGGTTACAAAAAATGTTTTCAATATTTTCTGCAGTAAAAAATAGACTTAAATTTTGAAAGAATTTTAAGAAATCCCATAATTAGTTGGAGTAATTGATTACTCCTGTGATACACAGTATTTTGTTTGATTGAACAACTTATTACATAAGGAGAAAGCTGTAATTAAGTATTATTTTAAAATTAATTAAAAATTCATATGTATTTGTGGAAATTTTTTTTTAAGGTTATACAGAATTCAGCTTTTATTGTCACCCAATTACCTTTTGCTGTCTTTACTATTTTTTAAATAATTGTAAAATCTATTTGTATTTTTTATAGGAAAAGTTTCAAAAAAACGTTAGCATTTTCTCGCCGTGCAACAAGGACGAAGGATACTGTATTATGACCACCCATCCATCATCAGCATCACTCAGTTTTGACATATCATTGAAATCTTATGCCAACGTCGTCATCATCTGTGACGTTTCATTAACCCACCTCCGCCCCCGAGCCCTTCGCACCGCCCATCAATCTGGGGGTGTTGATGGGATGGGCTACGTAGTGGGAGGAATGTGTTAATATCAACAAGCGAAAACTGTGCGAACGCAATCTACCGATTTCCGCTTAACCAAGCCAAACATTGCATTTTTGATTAGACACCGGGCCGACGAGCCCCCAGGCTGGTCAAATCCCAAGAACGAGGATATATCCATTGCCTTCCAAGGGAATGTTTGCAGGGGTGGCTTTTTGATGTGGTTCGGGGGATTTACGGGCGGGAATCCGGGGTGCTACGCGGCGGTTAAGTGGCGAAGTCAGGGGCTCGGGCAATTGATTGTAATTCTTCTTTTATTGGTGTTTTTTAGTCCTCTCTTCGTAATTTTTGTTTTTTTTTTTGCATTGTGTATGGCCTCTACAAATCAATGATTGCTTATAGCGGTTAACTAAATTGATAGCACACAAATGGTATAATTATTGTCAATGTAACATCGTATTTAAAAAAAAAGTGATTTAACATATTCTAAGAAAATTTAATTTTTAAATCCAAAATAAGAATCAAATAATTAAAAAATGGCATAATAAATTGAAAACATAATTAAACTTAAAGAAAATCTCTAATAGAAAGCATTCAGTGAACCATGTTGATTGTAAGCACATTCTATTCTAAATTTGGTTTCTGGATTGAACATCCCATTTATTTCTCCACGCTTTGGGTATTCATCATTTTCTTTCCTTAAACTTTAGGCTCCCCAATCGAAATATTATTTTCGCATTATATCGATCCCAAGCCCAACCCTCGTCTTCATCAATTTGCCTAAAGCATATTACATTCGAATTATAAACTCACATATCATTCTTCGATAAGGGGGATGATGAGGATTTCTGTCACCTAACGCATAACTTGAAAAGTTTTTCTTGAAAATTATGCAAAAATGTGAAAAATGTTGGCTCTGCTCCTTGGGGATATTTTTCAGTTCACTGAATTGTTGTTTGCCATGCCAAAAAAAAGTGATTTCCAACGGCAAGGGTTGTCAAGGATTTTTTTTGTGTGCGAGCTGCCTCTTTGATAACCTGATGGTGATATGACAATCTACTCGTACTCCCCCGCACGTGTCGCAATTCGAATTTAAATAAGTTCGATGAGCAGCAAAGTTCACAAACATTTCGGGGAATGGCTTCCCCACTTCGGTTCTTAATGATGAAATTTCAATAAATGTCATTTGGTCTCGGCAAAGTGTCAACATGGCACCTACCCGCCCCATTTTCATCCTTTTCAGGGGGTGCAACAGCTGTCAGCGCCGCGCTCAATGCGTTAATAATGACAGTTTTCCCAATATTTCTTTTTTATTTTGTTAGGCTAACTAGCCGGGAAATCGACAGAGAATGGCGGACAGGGCACATGACTCTCTGCAGTTCTCGCTTCTGCCTGTTAAATTTAATTACTTTTCCATTGCTCATACGCACTGTGTGTCCGTGCAAAGCCGAGCGCAAACCAGTGTTGCGTGCTTTTTAGCAAGGATGTATCTCAGAAATTTCTGGCAAAAGTGCGAATATAATATTTAAAATTTTACACCGAGAAAAAAACCGTTCTCAACGTTCTTGATTTCAGTATTTCCGTGCTCAAAACTGAGCCAAGAACGGTTTTACTAAAATCAAGAACGAGTGTTCTTGATTTGAGACTACTTTTTTGAAAATAAGTATTCTTGATTTCAGTATAAGTCTTCTTGGATTCAAGAAGAAAAATTCTTGGATTCAAGCATAGGCGTTCTTGGTTTCAAGAATACGCGTTCTTGGTTCCAAGAGTAAATCGTTCTCGGTTTTAATAATTTCTCTCTTACCAAGAAGAACGTATTCTTGGTTTCAAGAAGAAATATTCTTGGATTCAAGCATAGGCGTTCTTGATTTCAAGAATAGGCGTTCTCGATTTCAAGAATGTTCCACTCTTGATCCCAAAAGGAATTTTTTTAGAAAAATTAAAAATGTATATATCCACTTTCGGTGTATTTTATTCATTTTTTATTTATTATTATAGATATTACATAATTATAAATTACTTATAGTCTTATCTTCTCTTCCTGCGTACGTCCAAACTGCAAAGATTTATATATAAATTAAATAACAATAAATAATACAAGTTTAATTATAAATGTACATACTTGCGTAATTCGCCAAGCGAACAGCTTCTCTCCTTGTCAATGAACTCCAGGCATTCATAATTCACTCCAGCGCCTAAAAATATAGTTAAAGTAATTTTTCACATTATTTTTTAAAACGGAACCTTTTAAAATTCAATAAAAGAAAATGCACACACACATGTACATAAAAACTTAGCACGTGCACATCTGCACACATATGTATACATACATAGATGCATTTAGCGTGGCGTCACTTTTTTTCATAACCGTGTAAGTACATGATCTAAGAAATTCACTTCCACAAGCATTGACATAAGCACACATATATTAGCTAATTATCACTATTATTGTTATTATTTTACCACTAATTTTATTATTTAATACTTACGTTCGAGAAATGGCAGCGCATTCAAAAGATTTAGTTCTTCTAGAAGGTTTTTTAAAATTGTGTCGTCAGCGTCTATCATACTGGCTTCACTTCTTCAATTACTCCGCTTCACTGGCCGAAAAAACAACGAGCATTTGACGAGAGCCGAAGTGAACTTCGGTTGCTTGCCGAAAAATTCCAGAGAGAATGTCTCTCTCATTTTTAATCTCTCTCATTTTTTTTCATCTCTGAGACGAAGTTGAGAACAATTTCAAGAATGCTTGGGGACGATTTCAATAGTGTTCATGCTTGATAAACGAAATCGAGAATGATGTATTCTCAAAAAGCCAGATCAAAAATGCTTTTATTCTTGATTTCAAGAACGTTTGTGCTAAAAAAAGTGAGAAGACAAAATACTGAAATCAAGAAGATTCGTTCTTGGTTTTTTCGTTCTCAAGTTTTCTCAGTGTATAAAGGTGATTGGAAAACTTTCTGGAATGTAAGATACTATTTTAAACACGTATTAGTTTTTTTATTTCATTTATCAGCAGTAAGAAAATGCTTGTAACAAAATCTAAATTTCTAAAATTCCCTTATTTGTTGAAATAAAACTTAATTGATTTTTTAAAACATTTCTCATATTTATTTTTCAACTCCTGAACAATTTTTTTTATAAATATAAATTTGTGTGTTATTTTCACTCAAAATAATAATACAAATTATATTGCCAGTTAGATTTCTCAGATCAAAATATATGTATAGACCGCCAACTCTGGCCAAATGTCACAGAGAAGCTGCACTGAGTGCGAAGTTGTGATTGAAAATCGTTGAAATTTGCATGTTACACGAAGAAATTGCCAACTGCGTTTGTCACACCCCTCTCACTGATTGCAAACGGCGACTATTCGAATGGTCCCCGGTGGTCTGGGACACCACGTCCTCATCATCATCAATAGTTGACTGTTTCATAGCCAGTTGGCGGCGTTTGTCACAATGGCATTTAATATTTGGACACTGGCACATCCCATCGGTGTCCCTTCAGGAAATTGTTGGTCGTGACAAAATATTTGATCAGGTTTTCGTGCACATCCTGGTGGCTTTATACGCCGATTTGAGGTTGAACTTGTAAGCAGTACAATCGCAAATTGAAATCAGCACATACAAAACGACATACCTCTTAAATTTGAGTGGATTTTATTTAAATTTTTTTTGTTTCTTAAACCAAAATAATATTTAAAGTACATTAAATTATAATTATTTTAATCAAGGCTTTATAAAATAGAAAAAAGTTCAAGTTATATAGTTTCAAAATAAATATAAAAAAAATATCGAGATTTTCAGGTAGGTGGGTACGATTATTACATATTGCCAAGGTTTTGTAATTTTTAATTATGATTATTATTATGTTTATTATTTTACAAAAATGTAGTTCGAGTATTAATGAATATATTTCAATCAACTTAAACTTCTTTTTGTTTGTTTTTCAATAGCTTTTAATAGAAAACTAATAATATAAATTGTGAATTACTTGACATTTGAATAGTGGTCTGGGATTCATTTAAATATAACTGTATTAATCTCTAGCTTCCTTTTAATTGTTGAACTTGTGCTTTTAGCGAGTCAAGAGGTTAGAACCAAAATTGGCTTTTGGCCCTCCACCAGCAGCTGCACAGCGATGGATTCAATTCTTTCCATAAAACCAATGTTAATCTCAAATGGGTATCTGGTATCAGTCTGCATAATGACTTCACTGAACTGTTTTTTGTAGTCCCGGACTTCTCTGGTCAATCTATTAACCTGGCGCTCCACTTCAAGGAGCCGTCGATCGAAAGATGTCAGTGGTCTTTTGCGAAATTTAGCCTGAATTATTCGAATCCTGCGACTTTTAATCTGAAACAAGTTGTTAAAGTTAGCGTGCCTCAAAAGATGATCAACAAACTTACCATCTTCTTTGTGTATTTAGTCCGAGCTGCCATTATATTTCTCAATATAGGAATATTGCGAGAAAAGCCAGCCATTAATTTGGTTTCGCACTTTTGGGGTTTTTCAACACTGATGTTAGAGAGTATCGACACACTATCGATATGCATTTGTCAGAGATGGGACTGAATTAAACTTAATTAAATGTTAAGTACAAAAATGATAGCAGTTATTAAGAAAAAAACTCCTCAATTATGCGGTTACTTGAAATGGGATGAATATTACTCTTGCCTATAAAATGTTTGCGAAATTGCGATTCTCAGATTATTTAGCACGGCGCAGTTTACTTTTTCTAAAAACTACGTTTTTTATAAGATTTTAATTTTTTACTTGTTAAAAACCATGTTTGAAATATTTAGTAAACAATTAGTAAAAAGCAGGGACTGGCTTAAATTTTATTTTAAAAAATACATTTTCACGATGATTTTATGATTTTTAAAGTGAAACTTAAGGAATATTTGTAATTCAAAGCTTCAAGTTCATTTGAAAGGATTCTGTGGTTAAACTAAATTTAAAGAAAATGTTTATTTCCGCATAATAAAGCAAAAAACAATTTTTTTGGGTCATAACTATAATGGGTAACTAAAATAACAACGGCAGTTTTCCGTTCCTGTTTCTCTTTGATTCCTTGTGGGAAAAAACCCAAGAAACCCCTTAATTGTATTAAACTTAAAATATTATTATTTTTTAAATCACTATATTAAATAGGTCTAGGGATTAGTGCTAAAAACTTTAGAAAGCGTTAAATGCCGCTTTCCTGGCGCAATTTAAGTTCTCCTGAATTTAATGCATCATTATCCATTATGTGATCAAACTTGGCAACAGATTTCCATAATGGCTATTTCATTGGTCAGTCAGCGGCAGATCCACAGGCCATCCTTTATGGCTGGTGGCCATAAACCATTCCGCCTACTCTTCACGTTTTACTTGCGGTTTTTGGGCGATTTTCAAAGCCCTTCTCTGCCCAACTGCGGACTTCCACTTCCGGCTGTTGGGTCGTGTGTGAAATATTAAAATTCAATTAAAATGGCGTTAATTCCAGCAGTAGCATCAGCATCAGCGGCAGAGAACGAATGTCCGATGCCTGCGTCTGTCATAATTGTCAACTCTTGGGAGCCTGATCCGCAGGACAAGCAGCATGTCCTTTGGCATAATGATGCTCATCAACGGACAGGTTGCCATCACGTCCGGAAGTCCCTCCGTCCGGCTGTTTTGTGTCCACATCTCAATGGCATCAATGGCCGCCGCTGATTTCCTCTGCACAACTCCCCCTTTTTTCTGACATCTCTCCCGTTTTTGTTCTGCCGCATGCAAATTGCACTTCAGACATCCATTTATCATCGACGCATCAGCACCAGAATCGGAATCAGCAGTCAGCCAGAGTCCAGTCAACGATAATGGTTAATTAATAAATATTTCCCTCGAGCTGGGTCCGATTGAGGCATAAAAAAGGATCCTTTTGATATAGAAATTGTATGGAATTGGCTTTTGCCTCATTCATTCAAGTTGGCCCAGGCCCTTGGGCCCGTTTTCATTTGGCGTTCAACTGTTAAGCCATTGACCCACTCGTTTTAACTGGTCAACTGTTGAGTCTAGACTGGACTGGGGATTTTTTAATATGATGATTTTGATATAATGTAGATTTGAAAATCTGACAATCTATTAAAAAGTTATGAGCAACCCCTTAGCTGTGTAACGGGTACAGTCGAAATACTCGACTATAGCGTTTTCTCTTGTTTTATTCTAGTTCGTTCTCCCCAATTAAAACCATAAGTAAAAATTCAGCTCCAATCATCGCAAACGTGAAAAAGTATGAATGTAAGAAGTGTGATAACTTGTGTCCAATCAAAATAATGGGCAAAGAAACGTTGAAAAAAATAAGAAATTAACAATACATAATTCTACGAGTTAAACAGAAGAATCTTGACCCTCATTCAAGCGACAAAGCGGTAAGCGATACCAAAAACATTGATTGCTGATCATGAATAAACTGAGTGAAATTTCAAAAAAAGTTATTTCAGAATTGAAATTAAAAGACAATGGGCTTTAAGGCATATTTACATTTACATATTTTACATGGTGGTAGAAAGGTAAATTGACTTTAAAATTGTTAATCATAGTAATGGGTATCTAATGGTCGAGTCATCCGACTAAGCGTTTTTCTTGTTTCGTACTTATCTGCTGAATAAGTATATATATATTATATATATTGTCACTCAATCTTTTCTTTTAATGTTTACCTATATAGACGTCGCTGTGGGTTTCGAATGTTGACCTGATTGAGTTTAGATTGAATTTAAACAGTAATGTATGTACTCCAGTTCTGCATGCACTGATAAGGAGATGGTATAAAATAAGCTTGAACTGCTCCCACTAAGCCAGACAACAGCAAAATGGTGAATAAATTGGTTCAATCTCTTTTGGTTCTTGCCAGTTTTAAATTAGGATTTTCCTGCGATAAATGTGCCCCAGGAACATTAAATGGTAAGCACAAACAAAAATTAATTATTTAATTTCTGAACCCATATCCTAAGGAAACACAAATATCTACGCTATCAACTCGTCACCCTTCGTCAAGATCAATGAAGGTTTCTATTACTTTGGGCAGGAAAAGGTAAATTGGTTTAGAGCCTACGAGTCCTGTCGCAAGTTAGGTTCCGAACTGGTGACCTTCGAAACCCCCGAGGAGTTTGAGGCCGTTTCTGGGTACTTGAAAGACAGGGGAGAACGCTCGGATCACTGGACATCCGGAAACGATCTGGGACACCATGGGACTCACAATTGGTTTACCAATGCTCAACCCGTTAGCATAAATCGTTGGGCCCCCAAGCAACCCAACAATTCAGGCGGAAACCAACGTTGCATACACATGGGTTACATATACGACTACTCTACGGACTTTCAGCTAAATGATCGTCGCTGCAGAGATCATAAGAATAGTTCAATGAAATACGTGTGCGAGATTATGATGCGTGCACCTCCGTCATTTGTTGTAGGAAAGTAGAACCCATTGTAATCAATATCAATCAATAGTCTGAAATAATTTTGTCAAAAAAGTTTAAATACATTCATATAAAATGGTATTCCAATGTCTAAATTAAAAATTTGTTTAATACATTTAGGTGAAAAGTTTGCACAGTAATTTTGTCTTGTAAAATTTACTTTTTTGGAGATCTGATCCTTGAAATCAGAAAAAGTTCGACTCATATAATTCATGTATTTCATATAATTCAGCTTTAATCAAGTACCAAATTGTAAAGAATATTTAAATGTATTGACAATTTGCCACTCAAGACTCGAGTTGCTTAACTCATCTTAGATTTCCCAGCTTTCGAAAAATGCAATCCAAATAAATCGCAAAGCATCTTAACCCTTATTCCTTTTTTTTGCGTTCCTAACTTTATTCAGACAGAAAGCTTCAGGCTTTAAGGATTTCCCTTTGCGGATACCGAATCGCGTTCAATATTAGTTGTATATTGTGTGCTTAAGCAGCCCTTCAAGTACCCTTCGTCTGTTTGATTAGGCATTCCGGCTGCCGAATAAATACCAATAAACGAAGGCGCAGAAGGGGGATTCCAGGTGTCAACTGTACACAGCAACACCCACTTGAATTGTTTCGGGGGCAAAGGGAAAATGGAAGTGGGAGTTGCCGACTCGAGTCAATATTTGATGTCGTAGCTGAAAGTTTCACTAACAACTTTTCGGATTCCTTTCTTTTCTCCCTATTTTGCCGTGTCTGTCTCCTTTGTCGGAGGTCAAGTTATTGGCTGGTGTTTGTTCAATTTTTAAATTTTATTTCCACATAGTTTTCGGAGTGGAAGTTGAGTTTCGCAACGAAACCTCCTGTGGAACGCCTCATTGATTGCCCATTTAGAACCGCAAAATTTAATTTATCTGCCATCAGTTGATGTTCTTGCGGTTTGCCAATACACAGGCACAGCCCAAATGATATCGAAAGAAGGTTCCATATATAAGTATATATATATATATAAACGTATCTAAAGCCCCTCACCAGGTTTGTGGCCCTTTGTTTGGTGTAACCCATGTCAAAATTGTACAACAGTTCGGTTTTTTTTTGCTTGTTGCTGGTTTTCTGATAACATTTGGCTGGGTAGTCATGTGTGATTGTCTGAGTGTGTGTGTGTTTAAGATATCATCTGTCTCTGACGATACCACGCAGTCCCCATGGACCCCGGAACACCGGAACCCCGAGTCCCGGAACCCAGAAACCGAACCCCAAACCCAAATCCCAATCCCACCCCCTCCGCAATCGAAGGACGTCAGGCACTTCCGTTGGCTGCCATTGCCACCTGCTGTTTGACACCTAAATTCGCTTATTGTTGCCTGCTTTGGATTTACTTTTATGAACTTGTCCGCTCATAGGGGAAATCTATATCTATACACTCATAAAAAACGTAAAGTAAAGTAAAACAAGCATTTGAAAAATAAACAACTAGTGGTACTATCAAAAAGCATACTTGATAAACTTTAAAATCTAACCCAGTAAATTTTACAAGAACTGTGCGAATATCAAAACTCTAATTGGTTACTTACAAATTTGCATATATTTTATTCTAAAATTAACATTTTGTACTACGTTGTATTTGACTTCAATTGTGTTTAGTATTGCTACAAAGTAGTTCACTATGGTTTTTGAAAAAGCGTCCTATAGAAAAAAGTCTAAGATTTGTATACTCAATTATAACTTATAATAAAACCAAATAAAATAAGCATATCACTTTCATTTAGATAATCTTTTCAGTTCTACTAATAAAATTGTTATGGGATTTTATATCGCTAAATTACAATTTTTCTAATAAACTAATATAAATGCTAAAATAATTAAGTAATATTTTTCTTCAGTGAACTTATGAGCTGGCTGCTGAAATTTCAACACTTCATTCAATTCGCAATTCGTTTCAACAATTGAAATGCGATTAGCGCCAAGGTGCACACCGGGGAAATGAATGAATGAACGCGGGTGGAGGGGCAGGAAGAATAGGAAGAGGATTCAGATTCGGGAGCGGGTTTTGGGATGGCTACATTTTTGATTTATGTGAAATTGAGTTAAATTCATCCACACACATGCACACCCACCGCACACACACATCCTGCCCCCCAGGCATCTGTGTCGGTCGTCGGTTCTCATTGTAGCGAACGCGTCCTAATCAAGGCTATTCACTTGCCATAAATCAAATTAAATGGCTGTCACATATCGCCGGGCGCCAGTGGGCCTAAAGCCCCTCCTCAACCTAATCCTCCTCTTTATCCTGCTGCCGCTGCTCCTGCTCCTGCTTCTCCTCCAACTCCCCCAACAGTCACTACTATTGTAGTTTGCGCTGTCAGCTAAGCATAATTAAAAGCCAGGAAAAGTGCGAGGATAATATGGGCCTTGGATCAGGATTGGGATATTACAGGGCATGCTTAGACTTGGTTTGCTAGGAGCCGCAATTATTCTTTGAAAATGCATAATGCCACAGAGATCCAAAATTATGTGTTAGTTATATTCTATACATTTATTTCAGTTTAAGAAATAATTAAAATAAAATAATAATTTGGGTTTATGTTTTTTTTCAATTTAAAATTTGAAATTATGAAACACTTATAAATAATGTTTAAATTAATAGTTTTTACATTTAATTTGGATATTTATTTCAGGGATGAAGGATTGGTTTTTCGGAAAGTTACCTTCCCCGATTTATAAGAGATTTTTAGAACGAAGTTTTTATTGCACACTTTTTTAATACCATATTTACCTTTTACTTTTCACCCGAGTGAGGAGTTAATGCCCTTAAATAAAACTATAACTGAACTACGTTTTTATGGTTTAATAGTAAAAAATACTCCTCAATCGATTTCGCTCAAAAGGATTTTACTCAAAAGGATCATCTCCTTTGCCTAAGCCGGTCGTGTTTTTCTGTTGCTCCAGAATCTTTTGTTTATTTGAGTGATAAAATTTTAAATTTAATCGCTAAATTAGCCTACAAGTTCTGTGGTTCATAAACTCCTCCTGTTCAAATCAAATCCGAGCTCGGACAGTTAATATAAAAGTGTTTAATTTATAAACAAACCAGAAAATTAACTTCAGCCAGCAAACAACAACAAAGCGTCTGCTTTGTCACAGCAAGTATTGTGTTGTTGTTTTTATTCTCCCGCTCTCCTGCTGTACGCCTCTCGGAGCTGCCGGTCCGTTATTACTCTAACGGCACTTTTCCCGCTCTCCGCTTTGTGCGTGTCGCCTAAATTCACCGATCAGTGCAAGCCCTCCTGCTAACTTACGCTCTTAAATCCGAACGTTGTAGCTTGCTGCTCTGTATTCCGCTGCTCTCCACGCGTTGCCTTAATCTTTCGCCGCTCTTACTTTGCTCTGCATAGTGACCTGAGTGCATTCAAAAATGAGTCTATCCTGCTCAGCCAAAAAATGCGAGTTCAACGGCGTTATTGCTGGCGAAACTTATTTGTTGTGCTGGCTATGCGAGAATACTGCGCATTGCAAGTGCGCCGGTGTCGGCGTACATGGTCGTATTGGGGATCTTATTTCCAAAAGAATTGGATTTCTTTGGACTTGCTCCGCGTGCCGTGAGATTACGGACGAGATGCGTTCCTTCATGCGGCAAACTCGAACTGGCTTCAGGGAGATCAAGAAGCTGTTTAGTCACCTTCACGAGAAGCTGATAGCCGTTGAGTCCCAGTTTAATGGGCTAAAAATAATTAAGGAAACTCCAACAAAGCTTTCTTCTCCTCCAACTGGCCAATTAATAAACCACCTTACTCCTACTATCCCACCTTCATCCATGAGGGATCCTGGCTCCTCCAATAGCTCACTAATGTACGCTTCATTAGTTTCTGCCAACGCCAGTGTAAACGATAAAAACTACGTATCCTCGAATAACCTTGTGCCTCCACTGCCGGGTCCTTTATTATTGTGCCCTACCATTGAATCAGCCATGTCTCCTACTAGATTGGCAATTCCTGCTCCAGTGCTTAATTTTGTTACTCCTAAGTCTATCTGTGCAGACCTGGCCCCTGGCTCTCATCCTGAGCCTGATCCTGGTGCCTTACAATTCAACCTTCCACAATCCGCCAACGCGGTACCGTCGGTATCCTCCGTTAAAACGGCACCGCCAGTATCCTCTGGTCAAGTATCGTCGGTTGTACATAATGTACATAATGGTCCTGGTTCCTCCAAAAGAAATCGCAGGCCCCTCCTGGCTGCGGTTAATAATGGTCATCCAGCAGGCGCAAACCGTAGACGCCTCGAAGCTGTAGCGCCACAAGCAATCATGCCAAAGAAGGCCATTTTTGTGTCGCGTCTAAGGCCAGATACTACCATCGATGAAATTAAAGGTCACCTAAGCGATGAGCTCCAAGCCTCTCCTGAAAACTTTGTTGTAACAAAATTTAATTTTGCTTACAAAAGAAAAGTTTCTTCATTTAAAATAATTCTGCCTGATACACATTTTTCCCGTGCTTTAAATCCTGCACTATGGCCAGTTAATACGATTGTTCACGAGTTTGATCGGAAAGAACCAGCTATAAATACAAATCCGTCAGTTCCAAAAAACTAGATTTTGTATTACATTATCAAAATGTCCGTGGCCTTCTCAGTAAGCTGTCCAGATTGCATACTGACAGTGCTGCTTTTGATCCCAGCGTTATTGCTTTTACTGAGACTTGGCTTAATCCAACGGTATCTGATAATGAAATACTTACCAATAATTTTTTCCTCTATAGACGTGACCGTCCCTCTAAACGAGGTGGGGTGTCCTAATCGCAGTAAAGTCTGAAATATCATCCCAAGTTGTATCCATTCCCAATGTTGGTGATATTGAATTCATGTCAGTCAAAATATGTCTTCCTAACTGCAACATATTTGTAACCTGCTCTGATAATGAAATACTTACCAATAATTTTTTCCTCTATAGACGTGACCGTCCCTCTAAACGAGGTGGGGTGTCCTAATCGCAGTAAAGTCTGAAATATCATCCCAAGTTGTATCCATTC